CATAAGTAAGCCTCAGAATTCATTCCCCCTTTGCCTGACTGGAGTTCGGAAGATGGACAAACCCAAAACTGATCTGAGCTTTTCAGAAACCCAGGCCTTTAAGCACAGTGACACTGGCTTGGGGACTATCCATGATCATGCTCAGCAGCTGGGCACAGCCTGCAGGACCTGCAAAATCAGGCCGCAAAGCAGCACACCTAAAACCAAAGCCCAGGAACACTAACAACCAGACTGACGGTAAGCTTTTACTCTTCTATTCAAAACAATACATTCAATGTTAATACATCAAGCCTCATGGGGTCTTGCCCGTTAAGTTTGAGGATTTGAATCTCATGAATGCGGAATCTGCATTGTTCTCAGTGGAGGTCACTTTGCTGTGCATGTAGGAACACGCGGGTTGCTTCAACAGCTTACAAGTGTAGCAGAATTGTCAAACTCATTTTGAGCTCACCTCTGTTTCCTCTGTGTCTCAGGGCATGCAATCCCAAATCCTTGTGGTTCAGTGGGGAGTTAAAGCCATACCCTGATGCTATTTCAGGAGTAGAGCGATTGGTGCTACTTCTCTAACTCGTCTAACCACCGCTGACGAGAACTTACAATAACCTTAGCTTATTCCACCCACCCAAATGAGATTTTTCTGCTCGAAAAGGGGCCAAACTTCACACATCAGCCCATATTATAGGAGAGCGGCCCTATATCACATCTGAAATTCCTCTCCAAAGTACAACACGCATCATGATTTAAGTCATTAAGAAGGTGCCAGCAAAAGTTCAATTGAGCAATCAGTAGTCTTTTAATGTATGTTATCATACTTTCCTCTCTCTCCACCTTGGTTTAAAAAGGCCTCATGATTAATGTCACCTTTCTTCTAAAAATGTTGTGCAAACAAACAGTTCACCGTAAAGTTTTAATTTTAGGTTAATTTTCTGATAGTATCTATCTCTTTGCTTACATTTAAAATCAGTGTCCATTGAAAAAAATTAAAATTCAATCGAGACCACACTGAATGTTTAAATGTGACCTCGGGCTGCTTCTAGAGAACACTAAATGAAGGTAAATTGTAATGGTTTCCGAAAAACATCTGTTTTCATACAGATGTTTCTCATAACCACTGGCTGTAGCATGGTTGTAGACAGGTGCATAGAGCTGCAGTATGCCACCAAGTTACACATTTTTTCTCCAGGGATAAACTATATTTTTTACTGGTTACCTTGCTGCTGTTGTTTTCCTTGTCGGCACAGCAGAGTTGAATAGCTTCTTTGAGCCGAGGTGCATAACAGCTGCTCAATTATTAAAACTCAGTGTGATGTTACTAAAATCCCAGTAGTTGTAATATAATGAAGCATTTCAGGTTTCACAATCCTAAAAAGTATCAATCCAATATCATAATAGAGGAGTTCAAGCAAAAATCAGATCTGAATGGAAATTACCTCCTCTAAACACAGCCCTTTCGACACTTTCAGGAAGGGATTTTCTTCAGGCATGGGACCCCAAAGCATTTTGGAGGCAATTTCCCACTTGGTGGAATAGGCTTTTTATAGCTCCCTTCTTTTCTCCCCCCTGACTTCGCCTTTTTAATTCATATATTCAGAGTAAAGAAAAAGCTCACAAAAGACACGAGGACCAGATACAAACACAGAGTTTTTTCTCTACTGGGGCAATGCCACACTGGGACATCACTGCACTGAGAGAAGATTTAAATTTTACTGTATTTCTTGTCTCAAACATTCATCTGTTCCCTTCACAAATGGAACAGAACCACTCCCATCATGCAAACAGCTGCTACAGCACTTGTACTAGCCATTTGTCAATGGGAACTGGGTTTAAAACACCTAAGAAAGCGCTTCTGAAGAAACTGCTCCAGTGCAATGTGGAGGATTTAATGGAAAAAAAAGAAAGCCATATATTTTGGTGATAAGTCTTCTATTCTGATTCCATGGTATTCAGTTTATTCATAACTTCATAAGAAAATCTGTGGGCTTCCATAAATTCCATGTGTCTTTTGCTGTGACAATGCTAAAACGTGAAATTTCTGGTAAAATAAAATATTTCAAGATTATATATATATAATTATATACATGTGGGGTTTCTTTTAAATTACAGAAGAATGTGATCATTTCTAAAACAACAGTTAAGGAAATATGAAAGCATAAAGGGGGAAAGGATTGAGTTTTGTCTCTGAGAAAGAAATAGTGTACAATGGGCAAAATCAAGGTCTGCTTCTAAAGATATAAAAATCCTAAATTTAGGGTTTTTTCTTCTGCTTGTGTCTGAGATATTGAATATAGAGGAAACATATGGAGTACTAAATAAAATGTGGAAAAATTAAAAAAAGTGGAAAAATATTGAAAAGACAGTATCTACAGAGTGTAAGGATTTCACAATGTCATGTCAGTACTGTCTCACTTTACATAGTATTTTCCCTTTTAGAGTACATATTTTATTATGTCACTGTTTAGAATACCAAAATAATAGCATGTTTTACTAATTATTGTGTTGAGTCCTGAATGTTTTAAAGTTTAATTATGCACAATTAATATCGAATAGAGTTGTATTCCTTCATTGAAGCTTTTACGAGGGTTGCGAATAACCCATTTATTGCTCTATTCTCTGCCTTTCAGGGCTTCAGGTACCATTTCCATCACCTTGCACTCACTGTTAAAGGCACAACCAGACAGATCAGCAGCTCCCCCGCCCATTCCCCTTCTCACAGACAAGGTACCCATAATCTTATTTTGTACTTTGGAGAACTTGTTGAACAATTGTTCTCAGATGATATACATCTTCTCTTTTGAGTTTGTTTGTTTGTTTTTTAATCTGAAAAGCTGCAAAACTGCTTTAAGATGAACCTCAGTTTCACAATTAAAAGTGTGTGAAATTCTAAACCTTCTCAAAATAGAAACACTTTTCCAACTTGTTCACAAAGATGAGCATAAAATGAAGGCAAGAAGGTGTGTCATACTCTCAGTCTCAAGGAAAGCATTGCCAGCATTGCCTACAAATTCCTAGATAGGCATGAATAGTGAGATGGCCATCTCTACTTGAGGTGTTTCCCCAAAACCTATCTTAAACAACATCTTGTTTCCCAGTGCACAGTCAGTTAAGATGTGACAAAAGGAAATTTGATTCTCAATAAAGACAAATGCCTAATGAGTGATCAAAATGCAGAGAAATAAAGTGCACTACTCAAAGTAAATGTATTTTAAAAATTATATAAAAGGTTGAAAGAATTATTCCAGCATCTTAATTTCCATTAAGGATGAACAACAGTAACATTACATTTTCCTGCAGCCTTATTCGCTCAGCCAAAAATGTAGCTAAAGGCTTCTGAAGTAAGGAGATTCAATTAAAAGAAGCACCTTTTTTCCCATTCAGATCAGAGGTGACATATTTCTTTTAATGTTCTCTTTTGAATGGTGAGAAAGAGAATAGTACTTTATGATAAAAAAGATTTTTTCCTCCTTCTGCTTTCCATCTCTGCTTCATTTTACACAGGAATCTTTTCTCTTTACAATTCAGTGCAACATGTGTAAACATGGATTATACCACATCAGAAACCAAGTTAGCTATCTCAAGAGAATTTGTATCTCTGCTGTGTGTAAGTAAGCAGATTAATTCCTAGATCAGGCATTACCTAATGCATTTTCAATTCAATTTCTTCTTTTCTTTCTGCACACAAGATCAGGGAAGTGGGATTATTTTATTAATTTAACTAATATTTTGCATGTTTTCTCTGTTATCTTTCTTTCCTCCAAAATTTTTTGTTAGCTCCTAGTGAGTGATTTAGTACGAGCAAGGATGTGTAAAGACAAGAGACCTAAGCCCTCAACACCTTACAGAGAAATAAATGGCATAGGGAGTGACACACTTTTCCTCCTACTACACTACCGGGAATAAGGAATTCTCACATATTTCAAACCCTGATCCACAGCGGCACATCCTGCCTGGGGTAAGCTCAGTTATTGTACAAAATTTAGGAGAAGATTATTTATTCATTAACATTTATGCTGCTTTTATGGAAAATCTCAGAAGTAAAGAATGAGCCAGTCTGGTTTTATTACAGCAGTGCCTGCTAGCGCTGTTTGAGGTAAGGGTCTGTCAACATATCACAAAGGCATGGAATTTACTGTGTAAAATCAGTCCACTGGCCCATCGAGCCTGCTAGCATGCCCCGGCTAGCACCCAAGTCTGATGCTTAAGCAGAAGATGGCACAGTAAGCCCTTCATACATCTGACTAATGTTAAACTTGGGCAGGGGCAGAGGCAAGACATTCCTTCTTGCTCTCTGCAGTGTTCACGTAACGCCCAAAGACAGGAGTCGATTATGTCCTCGTAACTAAGAAAGTAACAGACAGTGATAAAAATATATGGATTCTTTGTAAGTCAGCCCTGCAACTAGGCACAGGAACGGGTGTGCTACAGTGAACAGAGAAACTCATCATACATTTCAATTTTACACAAAATTAATATTCAGTCTTTTTTTCCCCCCTTAAAATGAGCTCAAAATCATTCCAACCAAGGTACTCTAAATTACCTGTTTAGGATGGAGCTTCAAATTAGGAAGGGCGAATACTTGAGAAATGAAAAAAATGTCTTGAAGATCAATAAGAAAAAGGACAGAGAAATTAGAGAAAGGAGAAGGAAACACAGCTGAAACAGTGAACAGGGAGAGATTGTAAAGTGAGGAGAAAGGCTAAGTGGTAATTACCAGAAACATAAACAAGAGATAAATATTACGAGATGGGGTAAAGTGAAGAGTTAAGGGAATCTATGTAGCTGAAAATGAAACTGCATGGAGAGAGTTGTTGGGGTGTGGACAGAATAGCAGGAGGAAGGCAATCAAAGCCATCAACAGAATTTCCTCTTTCCACAATGCTCCAGATTCTCTACTGTTTAAGACCCTCAAGTTCTGCATTCCAGGTGATCTCACAGAGATATTCAGAAGTTGAACAAGATGTCATACAGGGGTGTATGCACGAAGAAGGGAACAGCAGAAGACAGGAAACAGTAGAAACTGTCAAATACATTCCTAAAAAATCAGCCAAACAGGCCAATAAGACGGGGGGAAAAAAAGTAGGAGTAATATCAATGGCTCAAGTTGATGTAGATCTCAAGGTATTTAGAGAGTTTTTGACCTGAGTTAAGTATAGTAAGGATTTTTATACCTCTTGAAATATGTTATAGTTGGTATTTCTCCTATACAATACTTTTCTTCATCCAAACCTGAACTCATCCTTGTCAGTATCCACACAAATGCAGTAATAATCTATAGTGCATACCTTACACAGATGTAAGGTGATCCTGTTTGTATTCTAAAACTCCCCCTGCCACAGAACAACTCCACCCAAAACCAAACAAACAATCAAAAAAAAGAAGCAGGTTTGTTTGGGTTTTTTTTCTAAAATGAGTAATTTTTTTTCTCCCCAGACGTTTGTGAAATTAGTTATTTTAGTTGTCACCCCTTTCGGAGAATGATGTTCATATCTAAAGTTAAAATTAATACAAATGACTGAAGAGGCACAGCCTCATTACAAAGGATTTATACACAAACCCTCTTATCAATACCAACCTCCTAGTTCTTAGACTCCTAAAGACAGAAATATGGAGCTACAAATAACATTCATTTCCCAATTACTATGCCAACCAGCTCTTTTATTATAGACTGTATTTGCATTTGACTGACTGGCCTATTGGAAACATAGTGCTGCTACACCATCATCAAGCATTTTCTCTTTTTCAAAGACATAATCCAGACTATGTGCACCAGTGCGCTATCTGTTGGTTTAATCATTCCTATACATGATAAGGGATCCTACTCTTTGCAAATCTGGATTTTTGTTAAATACCTTCATGTTCCAATTTTAACCTATCGGTCCTGAAATTATGGGAATTCGTTGCAGATTAATTGTTTACTGGACTTATGCATGAGTCTACTTATTTTCTATTTTTATAGGTGGTACATTTGAGAATGTGTTCAAAGGAGCATTGTTTTGTATTTACATTTTCTTTACAGTTAGGATCTGCATATAATATACATAAAAAGTTTAGTCTTCTTTTATGTCATAAATTGTTGTGAACAGCCAGAATCCTACATGCCTACTTTGCATTTACAATTTTTACATAAAGAGTATAAAAATTAGTTCAATTCACAGGGTGCTAATGTACAACCCTTTTGGTGTCTGATCATCATTCCAGGGAATAATTTTGTAAGACAGGTGTTTGTTTAACCTGTAGGAAACCTGAGACCTCCAGAGTGCTGTCAAGCAGGTTCGTTCATTTCTTTGTACCTTATCTCCCATTAGAAAATATTTCCTGTTCTTTCCCTATAAATTCTCCCAGGAAGGGATTTCCTCCTTTTCCCATCTTGATTCAGACACCATAATAACAACAACACGATTATGTGTTTTGTGACATTTAATAGTCTAGTCTGGATACCAAGAACTTCTTGGGGCAGAAAGCACAAATAAAAAAAAATAAAGTTATAGCAATTAAATTACCAGAATGCAAATAAATAGTCACAAATACTGTTCTCCATTATTTATGCAGACATAATTGATTTTAATCTTCTCTTATTGTTTCTCAGTCTAATTGTTTCAGAGTCAGATTTAAAGTGAAGCTCTGACTGCACTGGCATACAAGTTTAACAGAAGGTCGTACACATGCTGTATGTGGCCAATGCTGGGAACTAAGGAATCGAGTAAGAAGAATATTTTGCTATTATAAAAGTAAAATTATGGCTCTTCCTAATTCTTTATATAGGGAGAAAGGAAGGATATCTATGGAAAAAATCCAGCTTGCTTCTTCAGATATATACAATTGTCTTAATGACATTTTTATTTTATATGTATCTGTGAGTAAGGCAGAAAACTGTAGTGCTCTGCTTTGCATTGTGTCTAAAATTATACTCATCGTGGTTTCAGAACAAGAAAGAAAAGTCACCTCTCCTGCCCCACTGAAACATTTGGGGTTCTACACCTAGTACACTGGGGTCAGAAATATGGCACAAAGACTTCTGAAATAAAAAAGGGCAAGTGAAAATTGTGATAGTCCATGAATTTGAAAATATTTCAGAATTAAAACAACAAAGAAAGAAATAATGAGAAAAAATACAGTTGTTCAAAACATCAACATTTTAAAGAAATCAATGTTTAAATATTAACAATTCAAAATTCTACTGGTACATTGTTTTTCAGTGATATTCATGATAAATTATGTGACTAGTCTATTGAATGCCATATTGTGGAAATACATGTATGGGAAAACACCCATTACAAGAAACACTTTTGAGATGGACACAGATTAAAACAGAGTAAGAAAATTCTGTCCTGCATTGTTACAAAGATTTCTAAAATCTTGAAATATTTCAAATTTCTTTCAAAGATCCACTCTTCCCATTTCTTTCAGGGATGACTTCAAAATGGCTCTGCTCCTCCCTCTACTTTGCTACAACTAAAATTTAAAGTGAAATCTACATCTTCATTATTTATATTATATCCAAAAGTAATGCACTATTCAATGAAAACATGTAATGCCTCACTTTTAATGGGCAGTTCAAATACCCCTATGCACATCTTAGAGGGGAAATTTTTAATTTATATAAATCCACTTTGATGATTTTTTTATTTCAATTGACGGTGCTTCTCTATATGTTGTTAAAAGAGTAAGCAATGGCATTTAATTGAATCAAAAGGCAATATGATGATAGTGAGTTCAGTCATGCTTTTACTGTTAACACTGGTGCAACGATTTATTCATTTGCCATTCCACTTACTTTTGTTTTCGAACAACCATAAATTACAGTTACATCTCTACATAGCTACCAGGTGGCACATATGTGATACTGGTAATGACATATATATATATAACTAGAAGAGATCATGACAGTGTATATGTTCTATTCCAAATCAAAAGCTTTCTGACTTTGTCTAGTGAAAACTATCACTCCTGTCATGTGTATGTTCAACACCATCATAAATTTAGTGACTGGTGTGTCAAACGTGAGGAGTTGCAATCAAGTTGAGAACTGTAAAGAAAATTCGAGTCAAACCACAAGAAGTTAGAGGTTATGATCAAATACAGTCAGTGATGAGTGGTATTATCGAAATGGAAATGGTTGGTAAACACTGCCCAGGTCTTAGCACATCACTAGTATTAGCAGTTTATCTAATTAAAGGGCTGGGCATTCAAACAGACTCTCATGTAATGAAAAAATATGGAAATTTCCAATTTTATTTTATTGGTTTTAATTCTACACTGGAATGATTTAAGATTTATTAATATATTACTTGGAGACTTTTTCTCTAGACCAGTCTAGTGGTCATGGCATGTGCCTTGCACTTGAAGCTATGCATGAGCCCCTTTGATGCCAACTTCCGGCACAGAATTAGTGTCACTCATATTTTGCAGTCCTGTGATCAAAACAACGGGTGATTCATTATAAATTTTTTATTTGTAATTTATCCAGATGGACTTTTTTATTTATTGGAGAGTAAAAATTAATGTTCTTAAGGAGAAAGGGGCACTGCAGCCTTCATATATGCCATGCAATACCCTCAGGACTCTGCTTTGGTTTCTTTAACTAAATCTTGAAAAGTCTTATAAAAAGAGTAACCATATTTTTCAGCAAAACAACATTATGGTGCTTTGTGTTTTCCGACTGTTCAACTCCACCAGTAACCATAAACTGCTGGCACTAGTGCCAAGTTTGTTACAGAGAGATTAATGTTGGCAGCACAAGAGCTTCTGAGCTTTTTAAAATAAATTTGGCACTAAGCTCTAAAAGGGTTCATCATCACTGATCTAGATTACATCCTTCTTTATCAAGAAATAAGTTTCAAAATTCCTATCTAAATAATACTCCTGATTTATTTGTGTTTTGTTCCATTAGATTAATGCATATAGGAAGAATTCTCTGAAGTAATCTGCAAATTCACTGCATTTTTCATTCACTATCTCTAAATAACTCATGTCTGCAGCTTTAGTGTGATGTAACTGTTATTATACTAATCTTAATTATCACCATTTTAGCTTTTGCCTCCCACACTTGTTGTCATTGTACTCATGTCTGGTTTAAAAACAGGACCTAAGCTAGCTGAGGCCAGCAGCTGTCTTTTTAGTATCAGGTTCAGAGTCTAGCACAAAGGAGCACTAGTTCCCAACTAGAACCTCAACATGCTGCAGCACTACAGATGTTAAATGTCATAATAATGATTGTATCTTCCTTACACAGCGATTATGAACAAAGCTGTACATCTTTCAAAGAGCTCTTGTTTTTACTTTTCACCAGCAGCTAAAGCAAGCAACACATTTCCATTACAAGATGAAGCTGTACAATCTCATCCAACAAATGATCTCACTCTGACCCTCACACTAACTTTGCTATTACGCAAAAACAGGCACATTTTCCAGTATTGATTCCAACTAATGTCTGATCCTAACAGGCATGATCTTATCGGGGCCCCACTATAATAGAAGGAGTGTCAGAGTTAAACAGAATAGGTTTAGATAAGATCACAATCTTCCTCACCATGATGTGATGCTATCATTGAGTGAGTATAGTATTTGAAGTAATTATCATTAATAGATATTGGCAATAGGAAGAGTGGTCACTGCTAAGATCTAAACAAATTTATGCATGATAATAAAGCAAGTTTTATCCCAACAGTGGATATGTTATACGCCCTAAGAGACTTTGTTGCCTTTATTTTTTTCTTTGAAATTATAGATATTGAATCAAGAGAGAAATATTGAGGAGCAATGTCGCTACATGGTTTTTTCTGTACCTTCTGTTTTGTGGCAAACTGCCACTTCAGCCTTTCTGCTGCTTTCCTGATGCCTTCATTGACCAGATGTCTCATGATGTGTTGCGTGGACAGACCCTGGTCCCAGGGTTTGCCTGAAGAGCCATGGCCAAAGCTGATTTCATGGCGCCCTTCGTTGTTAGCCAACAGTGGAGCAGCAGTGACCTGTCAGACAGGAGGCGTGGGAAGCAAAGGGTCATCTTTCTAGACTTTGAGCCCTACAGCTGTTTCCTTACTTTAACTATTCTTTGCAGGAATATGGGCAGTGCCACAGTGGGCTAGCCAGAGGACTGGTCTCTAAGGCAAGTGTGGGCTGTGGCAAAAGCCACAAGGTTGACAGTCATCTGGCTTGGTTTGGTTTTTGCTTCAGCATTTGTTCTGATTGTAGTAGACTTTCTGCATTCTCAGAAAGATGATGGTACTGTAAAAAGGAACACCCGCTTTGATGTGGCAAATTATACGTGAAACTCTTAAGTCTTTCTCCCCCGAACCTGTCAGCATGTAAGATCAAAATAGCACAGAACAAAAATAATAATTTATAGCCCTGGAAAAAATGTTATCAACCTAGGAAAACTGAAAACACCAATATAAAAAAAAAGTCAGTTCATAGTTATGCATGTGCTTTTTGTAATGAAACAGCAGAAGCATAGCTAAACTTTCAAAGCCATATAAAAATAATACATAAGGAAAGGGTGTAAATCTAAAATCCCCTTAACTATTCACCATTATAAAAATAAGCAAGTGTGCATGTAGAACTAAAAGGGCACAATCAGTATTCCAAGAAACAATGTTGTCTCTGTTTTTCTGATAAAAATACTGAACTCTAATACACTATTTTTCATTCTTACAGACATTAGCTAATTAAGAAATTAAAAAAAATTTCTAAATTAATAGCTTACTTGCCAAGATTGCCCAAATATTGGTCTTATACATAGAAACCTACAGGCAGCTTTTCTACTTATCTTCATGTATTTGTCTTCTCAAATGTGTGATTAACTCCAGAGCACTGAAATCTTTTTGATAATCACTGAAGATGAATGTATCAGGACAATCAGCAGCATATGGAACACAGAATGCTGCCAGATGTTAACACACTAAAATAAAGCAGAACCATCCGTGTACTCTGTATCTTGTCTAAAAATAATATACTCATTGACCTTAACCCTAACAAACCAGTCCCATCTTCAAGGTCATATAAAATAACAAATATTTATCTTCTATGGAGAGGTTTATAGAATGTACTTGCAGTGTTCAGTGTCACAAAATGCTAAGCCTACCTCAGCCTTACTCCTTTGAATGAAAGCTTGGGGTGCTCAGCACTAAGCAACATCAAGTCCTAAGTGCATTATTAATCACTGTTGGAAATTTGCGGTCATTGTGCGTTCCCTTTCATTGCTTTAAATTTTTTTCAAAGACTACACATGGAAGCAGAAAAACATCTAGGTAGAGTAAAAAATACAGGCATATAATTGTGATGTCTAACGCATACTTCATTTGGAAGAGATTTGCAAATGCTCTATGTTGCCTTGAAAGAATAACTTCAGTCATCTTTGTTATCCCAATACAAGTGCAAATATCAAGGTAGCATACTGCTGCAGCTCTCATGAGCCTGAATACCAGGCTACAGTGGGTCATGGCAGCAAATATCAGCCCATCAATGTCTTCACTTCCTCATGCCTTTCAACCATCCCAAAGGAGACACTCCTGTCCAACAGCACAGCCAGAGAAACGCAGAATACAATGAGAACATCACGACTATTTTGGAAGAGTTCAGGAGACCTCACAGTTATGGTAGTAAGAGTGAACAAACAGACAGTTAAGCATCTTTGGTATGACTGATAAGGAAATGATTATTTAAGCTTGAAAAGGCCATTTAATCCCAAGTACACCACTAGCCAGAGCAAGCTAGTAGGTGCTACTACAAAGTCACTTAAATCCTGCAAGAAGTGCTAGCAATTGGCTTGGAAGAGGGAATGTGAGGAATGTTAAGGAGGCACAACCACATCAAGTGGTCTCACATTTATGAAGTCAAGTTTGAAAACATGGCTATTCCTCTTACTTTCCACAGCCGAATGTGGTGGTGGAGGTGGAAGTGGTTTCAAAAGTAATCAGTGCGTGTGCAGTCATTTACTGCACACAGGTACTGTTTCTATATTCATTTGAGATTTACTAGCACAGAAGCAAAAAATGAGCTCTGAGGATGCCAGTGATGCCAAGAGCCTCTCGGAAATATTTCCACATCCAACCCATGGTGTGTTCTCTGTTTTTCAGCCTGGCTAATCGGGGCTCTGGTACCTGATAGTGGATGACTGACTATAAAAATCAAGATTCAGCTTACTCCCTGAGGCCTGCTGTACCGCCAGATCAAAGTGCTTACACTTGGCAACCTGAAAATCAAATACCATTGCTGTCACTTCAAAAACGTGTGAAACAGAAGCCTGGGACAATGATCCTTGTAAGTTAGACAGTATTCCTTAAAAAAAGAGATACAGAAAACTTCAAAACAAAGTCCTAAGTAAAACTGAAAATAATGTTTTGAAAAAGCTACACTGACTCAATATTTGGCTATACACAGAATGTTAATTCTAACTGTAGTTAGCTAGAAACTGGATTGGGAAGGGAGAATATTCAGAAGAAAAAAAACCTGCAGGCAGTTGGGAAGGGACATGCCAAAGAAATATAGCAGTTACTTCCTTATCTCTCAGCTAGCCCTTGTTATATTTCAATTAGATTTTGAAAACGGTATCCTATACAGTGTGACCAACTGTCTAGCTTCCTGTAACATCCCATCTGCCATCTTCTATAAAAAACAGTGTCTCATTCTGGCCTTTTAAAGACAATCTTGAAAGATTTTAGCTACCTGCAGGCATTTCTGGGCAGCCGGACAAGCAAAGTTGGCTGCAGACATTTCTCAGCATCAAGGTGCCAAAAGCCACAGAGTCATCTGGTCCTTTTACTTCCCCCACACCACAGTTCAGCTGCACCTACACCACTCCTCTCGTCTTGGTCCAGCCTGTTCTTAAACACACCAGCCACAGATTTACTGCAACCTCCTGAATCTCCTCCAGCTTTTCAGTCCCATTAACATTAGGAAGTTCTTTCTTGTATCTAATCTAAATCTTCCCTGCTGTTACCTTGCTGGAAGGTTCACTTAATGCAACCCATCATGTCCTTCCGTGGTCCATGATCTGGGTGGATCCAAGAAGTGAAGGAAACCCTCTACTGTGGAGGCATTCAGGATTAAGATGGTATTTTTGCTTGGAGGAGGGGACCAGAGTGAGAAGGAAAACAGGAATATGATAAAATAGTGGATCCCAAAAGAGAAAAATACAATTTAGAATGTAACAAATATAAACAACAAGACCCAATATTTAATGTAGCAAATGCAACCACATCCAAGAGGAAAAAACACCATAAAAGTAAATCAGTAAGACTAAGACACACTAGGAGGTCTACTGCAGAATTAAAAATTAGCAATAGTAGAACCAGCCAGCTTCAACACAAGCAGAAAAGAAAGAACTAAGATATTTTGGATCTACTATTGTTTTCTGCTTTATTGCTCTCTTTCCTTTATGCTAATTTGCCCCAGTTTTCTTCCAAAAGTGAGGACAACAGCTTGCAGGAGGGGGAGAGAGGGAAGGATCCTTCCTCACCTCCCCAGCTTTGAGGCACACCTCCCTCAGCTCCCCTAAACTTGTCTTTAGTGTCCTCACACATGGCAGGAGTTCCAGATTTGTGTTTAAAAAAAGTGGTCACTCATCCCCCAGATCAGAGACTGTCATGTGGAAAAGAAAGCTTCAAAGAAGAAAAAGTATTTTTGGAAATGTGAGATGTTTATAAATAAATATATAAATAATAATTATTAACATATATGAAGTTTCTATTAAAAATAATATCTTCTGTGCATTTCAAATATCAAATCAAATGTCAAAAACAAGATATAAAAACTAATCTGTGACAGGGAGAATTTTAAATTGTAAGACATAGTCTCAGAGTCAGAATAATCTACATAAACTATGATGATATCTCATAGTTATGCAGTTCATTCTAAATGCATCAGTAGTGTTCAGAACGCTACCCTGCCCTTACAGTACAGAAAAGGCAGTATTTTGTCTATGCAAAACTCAATTATTCCCTAAGTATGTTAAAAGAGCTCAAAAAATTATAACTATGTTTAATGATTCACTAGTTATAAGGCATTTTGTAAATACATTTAAACATTTCCCCTACTCTCTAGTCTGTGGAATACACAATAAAATGCATTAGTGAAAAGAAAGGGGATAAAAGTTTTATTAATTGGTATTCAGTTATTTAAGATGGGATATGAATATCACAGAATCATTTAGGTTGGAAAAGACCTCTGAGATCACTGAGTCCAATCCGTGAATGATCACCACCTTGTCAACTAGACCATGGTACTAAGTGCCCCGTCCAGTCATTTCTTGAACACCTTCAGGTATGGTGACTCCACCAGCTCCCTTGGCAGTCCATTCCACTATTTGACCTTCACCCTTTCTGTGAAGAAATTCCTCTTGATGTCCAGCCTGAACCTCCCCTTGCAGCTGGAGGCTATGTCCTCTCATCCTGTCGCTAGTTGCTGAGAGAAGAAACCAATCCCTACCTTGCTACAATCTATGAAACAATATAAATATGAAAGTATATAAAATCTGATGGGGCTATGCATATAATTCATCATGTATGGGATATCAGGACACACCAAAAACCTCTATAAAATAAATAATATCATCAGGTAGAGTACTAGCTGTGCAACCCTTCCTCTGCTGCAACCGGTCTGGAGCTGGTAGGGAGGGTAAGGACAGCAAATGATGGTGTCTCCCCTGCTCTTTGCTCTGGAGCCCCAATGGCTGGAGCTAATTGTCTTTTGAGCTTCTCTGGAGCCTGAGGAGCCACCACAGGATGAGACTGACGAACTTTTTCTCCTGGCTTGATAAATGAGGCTCAGGACGTTTACAAACTTCCCTCAGCACTGAATTTCTCAGGTCAAGTTCTGTATTGCCCATATTTTGGTGGTACAAAGTGGATCTGCTGCATGCGGAAAAGGACACATTTTGCTACTGGCTATGTGATACTACAACATCATTAGAAGAGGAGCTACAGCTGAACGATGATTTTTAGGACATAGTAACAATCAATACTTTCTTCTGACTAGAATGTGCTATTTTTATATAGTCACAATCACTTATATTGTGTGTATATATATGTAGGTGTATACATATACTTATTTTTTTTTACTTCTTTATGTTTACCTATATATTCATATATATACCATACTTTCACAGAACACAGTTAATTTGGCTGGTAATAAAACAACCAGAAATACCCTTTATTTCTATCATTTTTGAAAATTTGCACGCTACTTCTCTCGAGCATATTCAGACAGAAAAGGAAATGATCTTTGGAATTTTGATCATTCCATCACACTGTATGGGATGGCAAGGAGCCACTGTCTTAAGTGAAATCACTGTTCCACTCCTTTATTTGAAGTAATTTTTTAATTTAAATGAAGATAGACAATTATTTCAAATATTGTTATTGTTACTATGATATGGTACCTTGGCCTGCATTTCTATTACCACAAACAAATTTTGGCACCACCAAAACGTGAATTTTCTTTTCACACCAAAATTTTCTCTACAACACACTTTCATTCCAAACAACTGCCCACTATTGCCTCTGTGAATCTTATGGAAAGCACCCTTGATGTTTTCATAATCCTATGTATTTGTATGTCCAGACAGCACATCTCGACAACATACTGAGTGGAACACAAGTGCTACCACAGTTCCACAGGCAACAGCATCACAGTGCTTTTTTCCACTACCAATGTACTCTAAGGCTAACTACCCTTGGGCAGGTATAGCTTTATATGTAATAGCCCCAAAAATACCCAGGAGTGTCCAGGACATTTTATTTTCAAGTGCTCAAATAAAGAGCACAAGCCTTTGGTTCTTTCATTTCAGTGTCCATTGTAACTACCAAATACTTGGCCTAACAATGCAAACATTTTCACAGAAACAAGCACCTTCATAGCTTTATGTTTCACTAAAATGATGAAGCTAGAATTTCCCATGCTTGTTCTATGAATGTGAAACTGCTGAAAAAAAAGTGTCAACATTTTAGAAACAATTTTATTTCAGAATTAAAAAAATAGTGTTAACATTTAGTGAGAAGGAAGGTATTTCAAAAATTGCTGAATATTTAAATCTGACATTTTATATCTGCTTAGTCTATAATACTTATGTTTCATAAATAAGAAGAGGTATCACTATAAAAAGCATGAATTGAAAAAATTTCCTCAGAGGACAACATTATTGTTAAATTTCTCATTTTAAATATGAGTTTAGAACTAGTGTCTTTTAGGTATTGCAGTGCAATGAGGTACATGACTGACCTTAAATGGAGATATTTTTCTTGTATGAAGTTTTAAAATAAGACTACATCCCATTCTAAAATTTGTGTAATAAATTTAGCAAAATCTACACAGCAAAATAAGCATTTGAGTCTTAAAGCCTGTGGTACAGAGAAGATTAGACTAGCTAGAAAATTATTAAGACAGTCTAGAAGCACAAGAATATGTTGCTACTGAAATTTATTGCAGTGATTCTCTCCAAACAGCTTGTCTTGTGGGTCCTTTCCAACTCAGCATATTTTGCGATTCTGTGATCCTAAAGTGTAAGAGCCTGGCACTTTCAGATAGCATCTCCCTCTACTGATGCCTGAGAGGCCTTGGACCAAATTTTCCTGCCTTTTTTTCTGTTCTAGACTCCTGACTTTGCCTCCTCTCTCCTGCCGGGCCATCCCCTTGCTCTGCTCTCAGCACCCTGGCAATGTGCCCCAGGGTACATTCCCACTTTCCGTAAGACCCCCTACTGAAATGAAGCTTGCCAAAATAGGACAGAAAGTTTATTGAGTTTTCTCCCAGGGAACTAAGTTAGTTTAACGGGAATGATTGGCAATGTCTACTACTTAATTACAGGGTATTAGAATAAATTCTGCTTAATGGAGCTGCTTATAGCAAGCACCAAGTACCTGAATTAGTTTTAAAAACCTTTCAAAGTGACCAGTGGTAGTTTTAAACAAAAGTTAAAGTACTGCTGTTTTGATAAATAGGTGTCAAAATGCACCATGGGTATATGTATTCCATAAAAGGGCTATAGTCAAGGAAAAGATGTTAAAAAGCAAGAGCAATTTTATGTAAAAATCCTCTGTTGACATAATACTACATTCTGGAAATTACCCATTCAGAAATGAAGAAAAAAAAAGATGTAATTTCAATCCTGTCTTATTTGTATGTCCTTTAAATATTTAATAGCCTAAAATTACAGCTGTGGTAATGGTGTGCAGTACTAATACCAGTGTACTATTAGCATTTAGACAATGGTGTAGGATCAAGGTGCTCTTTCTTTTAATGTACCATGTTGCTTCATCGTCTATTTGCGATCTAGAAACAAATTCTGCAAGCTGGGAAAAAAATGCTGTGTA